AAGCTTCCGGGCCAGTTCTGGGTCAGCCTTGCCAACATCCGGAACGACGACCCAGCAATGGAAGGCGTTTGTCCCCCAAATTCTGGGATCCTGTATGGCGCCCGAAGTCGCTAAGCCCTGAACCCTAAACCCCAGCCTGCAAAAATCACCCCTTCCTCAACATACGGCCGCAGCCTTAACCCTCAACCCTCAACCCTAAACTCGAAACCCTAAACCCGGTTTTAGGGTTAAACCGGTTGAATCGAAGGGCCGCGCTCGCCTTTGCCCCTGCAAGCCGCATGCGGCTTGACTTTGGGGTTCAGGTGCTAAGGACTCCGCATGTGCCCTTGCATACCGTTTAGGGTTTAGGGTTCAGGGTTTAGGGCTTAGGGTATACCACCATCTGGTTAGTTCTGTAAATTAGGGTCCCTTTGTTGGGTCCCCTATGTAAGGCGGCACCCTAAGGCGAAGGACCCCTCTTCTGGTCAGTTCTCAAAACTACGGTCCCTTTTTGGGGCCCTGCCCTAAATAACAAGAGGGACCGCCCCAAAAATGACCCCCAAAAAGGGATACCGTCTCAGTTCAGGCTGCAGAGGTAGAAGCAACCCCCTGAGCTGCTTCCCAAACTCCCCCAAAGATTTTCCCGGAAGCCTAAACCCTAAACCCTAAACCCCAAACCCTAAACCCTAAGCCCTAAACCGTAAACGCGAAACCCCAAACCCTACACCCTGAACCCTGAACCCTGAACCCTAAACCCTAAACCCGGAGACAGCAGGCGAGCTTCAACGAGGCATTGAAATGCTGCGTCCAATGGTCGTTTCTAAGCTCCTGGGCAGCGCTTCAGTGGGTCGGTGGGCTTTTTTGGGGTTTAGGGTCTAGGGTCAGGGTTTAGGGTTTAGTGTCGTTTCCTAAGTCTTAAACAGCCTGAACCCTAAAGCCTAAACTAACGGTCAGATTCCGTCTTACTCCTAGGAAGTGGGTTTTATGGGCTTTGGGCATTTAACGGCTGAAAGGGTGTTGCGGCTTAGGAATTTAATGTTTTCCTTTGCAACCTCTTCAAGCCAAGCATTCAGGTTGAAGGTTGATCCTAAGTTCTTCCGGAGATGTCGACTTTTGGGGTGTAGGACTTGCAGGGTCTAGGCAGGTGTAGGCGAATGCGGGAGTCTAGGACAAAGGTTTCACGGCGTGCCTTGTGCGTTGCAACTGGGATTGATCTCTGGAAGGGCTCTTCGCTTCACGCCAAGAAAATGGAGCGTTCTCGCGGAGTTGACAAGACAATTTTTGGGGCTGCGGCGACACCAAGAAAGCTGTAGAACATAGTTTCCAAGGTGCTGCGCGCGAACGCACGGGGATCTGGAACCCACTTTCGCACTGAAAGTTATACGGCTTCCATGAAGGAGCTTTATGATGGGGGCTCGTGTCTGGGCCCGTCCACACCCAAGACCCCGAGGCCAAGGTGGCTTCGTTGAGATTGGTTCACAGAACAGGAGAGGGCCCCCAAGCAAGGACACAGCACCTTCACTCGGAATGCCGCACACGCTCCAAGGGCAACCGCGCAGTACTTTCAAGCAACGGTGCCTCTGAAAAAGCCTGAAACAAACGGCGGTGTGGACAAAGCAGGCTAACCCTAAACCCGAATTAAACCCTAAACCCTAAACCCTAAACCCTAAACCCTAAACCCTAAACCCTAAACCCTAAACCCTAAACCCTAAACCCTAAACCCTAAACCCTAAACCCTAAACCCTAAACCCTAAACCCTAAACCCTAAACCCTAAACCCTAAGTGAGAATCTTTGGGTTCAGGGTTTGCGGTCGCAAACCCTCAGCTGCCCACACCCAGAACGCGCGGAAGACGGCCACTGACGTCACCTTGCGCGCTGTGTGGTGGCCTTGGAGTTTAGGGCTTATCGGATTTAGGGTTTAGGATTTAGGGTTTAGGATTTAGGGTTTAGGGTTTAGGGTTTAGGATTTAGGGTTTAGGGTTTAGGGTATAGCAGAGTCCAGGTACAATGTTGCTGGGCAGAATCATGTAAGGGTCGGCACCTAAGTTTGTCAACGGGCTCGAAAGAACAGTCCAGCTCTCGGGAAACCCTAAACCCTAAACCCTAAACCCTGAACCCTAAACCCTAAACCCTAAACCCTAAACTTCAAGGGTTGAGGGTTTAGGGAAGGCTCCAGGGCTTAGGGCTCGTTGTAGGGGTTAGCGCTTCAGAGCTCAGGGGTTTAGGGTTTAGGGTTTAGGGTTTAGGGTTTAGGGTTTAGGGTTTAGGGTTTAGGGTTTAGAGTTCAGGGTTGAGGTTTTTCCGCGCGCCTCCGCCTCCCACCAGCGTGCTCGCTTGCTCCAAGGACCTTCTTGGGCTGAAGCTCTTGCTGGCTATGCCCCTGCTCTTTCGTCGTCAAGCCGAAGTCAGTGTCCCTAAACCCTAAACCCTAAACCCGAAACCCGAAACCCTGATTCCTGAACCCTAAACCCTAAACCCTAGACCCACATGAAGGCTGAACTCCAAACCTTGAACCATAGACCTTAGACCTAAACGGGGGTGTACGAGAATAAGGGACCCTAATTTAGACTCCCAAATAATAGGATCCCCTTATAACAGGACCCCAATAAGGTATCCCTTTCATCGTAAACCCCCAAATCCCAAATCCGAAATCTTCAATCCCTAAACCCTAAACCCTAAACCCTAAACCCTAAACCCTAAACCCTAAACCCTAAACCCTAAACCCTAAATGTGGAAATCCACATGTTTCCCCAGCGTGTGCCAGGTGAATTCTGCGCGACTCTCAGAAGGATGTCGGCTGGCAGCTGGGTGTGATGGAAAAGGCCCCGGTTGGTTCTTTGGGGTCGTTCGGTCTTTCTTGTGGTAGCGGAGCTCCGAACAGGGCGGGGCTCCGCGGGTTGCGGTTAGTCGGTGGTAGCCTTTGGGATTGTGAGCTTTGGTTCGTGGGTTTTGGGTTTGTGGTTATAGGGTAAAGGGGGTGGCCTGGTTTCCTTGAGCCATGGACCATCCACATGCTGCTAGCCTGGAGTTCGAGAGGGTCGAGGACGACTCGGGAGACGAGAGCTCCCAGACAACCATTTTGGTGCCTGGCGCAGGAACTGCGCATGCGTGGATCCCCTCAGTGAATGGGTCATTGAGGGCCCGAGTGCATCCGGGAGTTGCGAGGCGGCCGGCTGGCCGCCAAGACAACTGGAGCTTGAGGGACGAAGAATCGAGCCAGGCGAGCTGGGAGGATGGCGACGGCTGGTCCTGGGCTTGGAGCAGCTGGGCGTCCTCGACGTGGAGGCCCGATCCGTGGGGCCAGTACTTGGACTCCAACCGGCCAGGCTGGAGAGGGGGTCGTGCCAATTGGGATGAAGAGCCCGCTTCGTCGAGCTCTCCTGAGGGTTCGGCAGTGCCACTGCCTCGGCTGCTGTCGAGGTACGAGAATGCCACTGAGCCGAAGCCGAACGGCCCTCCTCGCGAAGTTTGGACCGAACCTGGGGCGGCGGCAGCGGGGCGGCCAGTTCCTCGCTCGCTTCAGGATGATTTTGCAGTTGCTCGACGCCCTCCGGACGATGGACGTGATCCCAGAGCTCCTGGTGCTCTTGTCGGTGAGTGTCAGGGGCAAGTCACGGAAGAGCACGTCGCAGACTCCGCAACGGAGGGCAAGGGCAAGAGTCAGGGTGCCTCGAAGTCCGGGGAGTACTTAAGGTTGCACAGTTCATTTCCCCCTGAGTTCCGAGCCCGACCTGGTGAATCTTGGAAGGACTATTGGCGTGGCGTTGAGTTCTGGCTTGCTTCAGAAGGGTCGAACCTTCCTCCTGCGGTTCGAGGCTCGCGGTTGATGCAATCGATGAAGGAGCGGGCGGCGAAGATTGTGGCGCACCTCAGTGTCTCAGATGTGGCGTGCGAGAATGGGGTGGCCCTCATCCGGAACGAGATGGAGAAATCGCCGATAATCCGGCTCCTGGAGCACAAGGAGGTGGACCGGAAGAGGCAGAAGTTCATGCGCCTGAATCGATACCCTGGGGAGTCGCTGGAGAGCTTCATCAACAGGGCCTCGATCTACAGACACGAGAACGACTCCTGCCAGAACTACAGGGTTGGGTCCCAGTTCTACCTCGGCCACCTCTTGGATGCTGCTCGATTGACACGGAAGGACCAGGCCTTGGTGAAGACGGCGGCGGGAGGCCTCAAGGACGAGCACCAGGTGGTCAATGCGATGCTGGAGTTGGCAGACCAGCTGGAGGGCCAGGCGGGGTACCCCATCGGGAAGGGTGAGCCAGACCTTCCGGATGAGGACCAGTTCCTCGTTCAGAAGAAAGGAGACTTCGTCTCTCGGCGAGATGACGGCCATGCAGATCGTCGACGGGAAGGAGATCGGGATCGTAGACGGCACGTTGGGGGACGAGGAAAGGACGGCCGCTTCAAGCGCTACCAGAAGTGGAAGCAGGTTTTCCACGCGATCCTGGAAGACGATAGTGATGAACGAGACGGATCGTGGTCGGACAAGGGGTCCTCCCGGGGAGACCCCAGTGCATCGGAGACTTCTGGAGAAGAAGCGACGTCATCGTCTCCGACCCCTCCGGAGATCCCCGACGACCAGTTGCCCGCGGAGGTGTACGCCCAGGAGTACAAGGCCAAGAAACGAGTCAATGAGCTGAAGCAGATGCGGCAGTTCTTTCAGAAGGGCTCGAACCCGGAGAAGACGAAGGCTTGGGTGAAGGAGCAGCAGAAGAAGGAGCCATGTTTTCTTTGCGGAAAGCTAGGACATTGGAGCCAAGAGTGTCCGATGCGGAAGCAAGGGACGAAGCCCCACCACTCCGTTCATGTCACATCGGCTGGCACAAGTTCAGACCCGGCGCAGTAGGATCTCCTCCAGTCCATCGCGGGATATACGGCCGAAGCTGAGGGACACGGTTCGGGGCTGCATGGGTGTTTGGTTGCTTCCGCTACGTACCAGAGCTCCCTCATAGACTATGAAGCCTTTTGGTCTCTTCGTGAACTTCATAGTAGCTTGATCCTGGACATTGGCTGTATGAAGTCGGTTGCGGGTACTAAATGGGTCAACCAACACATTCAGCGTCTCAAGAGCTTGGGTCGATGGATGAAGGCGGTTCCAGAGAGAGAGAGCTTTCGCTTTGGAGATGGACATGAGGTGTGGAGTGAGTTTTCCTTCATCTTTGAGGCCACTTTGCTTGGGGTACGGGTGGTGCTTCGCTTGAGTGTGGTTCCTGGGGACTGTCCTCCTTTGCTTTCTAAGCCGGCATGTACACAGTTGGGCATTGTCATAGACACGGAGAACCACACAGTTTCGTCGCGCAAGCTCCGGGTGCGTAGGTATGGGATGAGTCAAACCTTTGGCGGTCACTATGCCCTGCCCATTGCTGAGTTCGAAGACCACATGTCCCCCATCGAGGACCCCGACCTTCCAGTGCACTCCGAAGCGATTCCCGTGTATGTAGCAAGCCCGCTTGACATAGAGCCTGAATCGCCTCCTGAAGAGCTTCCTTGGAGAACTTGGATCCGGAGAGATAGGCAAATGGAGTGCACAGTGGGCCCGGGCCGGAATGGACCTCCTTGGCATTGCGTGTTTCGCAGAGTAGTGTACGTGGCGGGAACGAATGAGATGTTGCTGAACGAACCCGTCACTCCCCAGACAAGAATCCGCACTCCTCTTCCTAGGCGCTGTGACACCCGCACGATCCTCTTCTTCCGGCTGCCGGGCTCTGCAGGGAATCAAGGTGACAATTCGATGAGTGCCCATCCGGGCACACATTCCTCCCCGTCCTCCAGTCGCCATGGTGCGTGGGAAGCGCGAGAATGTGATGACGACGCCCCGGGGCGAGATCCCCGCTCACCACCGGTTGGACGTGGAGGACTCCGATCAGGACTACGAGAAGGCGCTCCTCGAGGATTGGAGCCGAGTGGACACCCCCGGCGAATCGAGGTCGCCCTCGCGGCCCCCCAGCAAGCCGAAGTTGAGACCTGCGGCGAGGAAGGCGAGCCTGGGCGCACGGTTGAAGGCGGGGCTCACCAGGACTGTTCGCTCCAAATCCGCAGACAAGACTCGAGAGCGCTCAGCCGAGAAGAGTCCCAGCCCTCGAGCTCATCGGCACCGCTCCCCCGAGGCCTACAGCGCGGCGACCGATCACAAGGAGAAGGACAAGCAGACTGGGGCATTGCTGAAGGGGCAGGCGGCCGGGCCCAAGGAGAAGGACAAGCGGACTTTGGCATCGCTCAAGGAGCAGGCTGCCGAGCTCGAGGAGATCTTGCTGCACTACCTCGACCCCTCGAGTTTGCCGACAGAAGGTTCGAAAGCAACGAAGGCGTACTGGGTGAGCCGGATCCAGATGTTGGAGGAGGAGTTGGAGCTTTGTCAGGGGCCACAGGCCATGGAGGACGAGGCAGTGGAGCTGGCCAAGCCGAGTTTGAGTGGAGAGGACGCCTCAGTCCCCTCGCTGGACAGTCCGCCTCCGAGGACCAGGGGAAGGGCCAGCTCGACGACGAGTTCTACGACGCCTACAGCCACAGCGAGAGCGAAGCCCAAGGGAGCACCCAAGAAGCAGCATGCTCTGACGGACCACAGCGCTCCCTTCCCCACAATGTCCAGCAAGTTTTCCGACGACCTCCCGATCAACATCATGATCAGCTTGCAGTCCCAGCTCTTCACGTTCAAATGGAAAACCCTGGTCTGGATGCTTCGAGTCCGGGCCGCCGTGAGGGCGGAGATGGGACATCGGGTTCAGTGGAAAAGGAATCCGAGATGGTTGATGCTGTTGCTGGGAAAGCAGATGGGGAGCTTATGGGGGCACATAGGCGCGGCTCGTCAGCTGTGTCACGACCCGAGACTTTCCGGCCTGATGAAGGGGAACCCTTTGGAGACGAGCAGCGCCAGGGCTGCTGTGGCCGACCGTCGCGAGGATTGACTCAGAAGCTGAAGAGGGGCGTGGCGACAGGAGTTCGGACTTTGGGACTCCTGACGATGGTGGCATCCTGGCAGATGAGCTGGAATGTGCTGGAGATCTTCCCGACAGGCAGAACCTGGGAGGACACACCGGCGCAATGGGTGTCCAATGGCCCTTTGTGTACTTCAAAAAGGCCCTTGTCCCCTAAGGAGAGCCAGAAGATCATCGAGGAGGTGGTGAAGATCAAGCCCGATGTGCTGATCCTCGCTCCCCCAGTGGGCCCTTGGTCGTCCTGGCCCCGAGGTTCGAGCAAAGATCTGATGAGACAAAAGGCTTGCTACTGGCCGATGTGGCACATGATCTTCGAGGTCTGGAAGTATCAGCAAGCTCACCGAAGATTGGTCATGATCCAATTCCCAGCAAAAGCAACGGTGCCGGGACCTGATGAGATGAGAGAAATGCAAAGACTATATCGACGCCTATGCCCTGGAGATCTTCCGAAGGAATGGCGAGACGATCAGCACCAAGGACCACCATCGGAGGGGAGAGACATAGGGTTCAACATAGATAGCCGTGGAGATCTTCCGGAGGAATGGCAAGACGATCAGCACCTGGGGACCTCCTTATGGGTTAACGATTCATCGCCTGATCCTCTATATCAAGCCCGTGTCGACCTTTGCGCTTTCGGCCTTTGTGACAGTGACGGACGTCCTTGCAAGAGAGGGCTTTGCTACGCCGTGAATGATCCGTTTTGGTGTGGTGCCCTAGAGAGTGGAAGCCGATGTCCCCATGGAGACGGAGGGCATGTAGCCATCGGAGGCAAGAAAGGTGAGGCGGGTGGCGAAAAGGACTCGCAGGTGGCAGAGATGCATCGTTGGCCGAGCCAGTGGACGCTTCGGGTGCTGTCCTCGGCCCAGAAAACTTTGAACTCGCGTTCAGGAGGTTCTCATCACTTGACGCTGCACCAAGAATGTCTGACGCCAGGCGAATGGGAAGCGGTCCCCGTGGAGATTGAGATGTCCCCTGAGGCTCAGTTGAGACAACGCTTGGGTGAGGTTTCCGGTCAGCAGTTCGACTACATCTACTTCGAAGGAGGCAGTGGGGCGTTGCCGAGACAGCTGCGGAGCACCTTGGCGAGACTACATGTCACGCTGGGCCACATCTCAGGCGAGAAGCTGAAGCGCATGCTCCATTTGAATGGGGCCAAGGACCACATCCTCAAGGCGGTCAGTGATATGAGATGCCAGGTTTGCCAAGCCGTGACAGCGCCCACACCGGCGCCCAAGGCGGCCTTTGAAAGGCCCCAAAGATTCAACGAAAGGGTGGTCACGGACGTCTTCTTTGTCTGGGACAGCAGAAAGGAGAAGTTCGCGGTGGTGCACGCGGTGGATGCCTTCTCGCTGTACCAGGTCGCCACCTTACTCGTACAACCACAAGCTCAGATGGTGGCGAGCTTCCTTCGGAATAGCTGGATTGGGGTTTTTGGTCCTCCGGAAGTGCTGATGAGCAATGCGGGCACCGAGTATGCGGCGGAAACGGAGGAGTTGCTGAGATCATATGATGTGCATCATGAGATGGTTCCTCCGTCGGCGAAGTGGAGAATGGGATTGGCAGAAAGACATGGGGCGGTGCTGAAACTCCTGGTGATGAAGACGGTGCATGCCACGACCGCCAAGGGCTACCATGAAACCAAAGAGTGCCTGATCGCTGCGGTGGCCGCTCGCAACCGTCAAACGCGGGTGGGAGGTTTCAGCCCCGTGCAGATAGTCTTGGGCAAGGACCTGGCGATCCCTTCCTCCATCCTGGACCAGATTGGCCGAGGGCACTTCAAGTATGTGCTGAACCAGGATTTGGCCTTTCACGAAGCCCGACATCGGAATGAGCAAATCCGCTTTGCGGCCGAGCAAGCCTACATCTGGGCGGACAGCCATGAGACTTTGAGAAAAGCCCTGAATGCCAAGACCCGACACCCGAGACACGAGATGCTGTTTGAGGGAGCCATGATCTACTTCTATGATCCCCCGAATTCGCGGAAAGGACTCCCTCGCCGGCTACAAGATCAGGTGTCGTGGATGGGGCCTGGAGTGGTGGCGGCCCTGGAACGTCGTGATGGGGCGATCAAGAGAGTGTGGGTGCGATACCGAAACAAGCTGAAGGGACTACCGCTGGAGTATGTGCGTCTTGCTGCCCTGGAGGAGGTGGAAGCTACCAAGGTCTGCCAAGAGGCCTTGAAGGAGGTGGAAAAGGAGCTGGAGGGTGGCCGCCCCGAGATCGAGAACATGGAGGAGCCGGAGATCGAAGAACCCCGGGACCGGCTGATGGAATTCAGTGACGACGAGGAGCCCCCACAACCTCAAGTTTCAGCCTTGGATGATGTCCCCATGCAGTTCCACCGGGATAAGAGGGGCCAACATCCTGGTCTGCCTGAGGCAGGACGCCAACCCAAGAAGGTGCGTTTTGACGAAGCCAAGAAAAACACTGAAGAACACTTAAGCAAGATGAAGGCGGTCCTCCGGAAGTATGAGCCACGTGGGAGACTGGAGGAGAATCTGAACTACCAGGAGGGAGGGGCCTCATCTTCCTCAGCGCAGGGTCCCGCTCCCTCTCCCCCGGCCCAGGCAAGCCATCGCGGACATGGAGTGTTCCACATGGTTCGTAGGTGGCACTTGGAAGAGGCCACCCGGAGCCAACGAAAGATGATCGTCGCAGCCCGAAGACAAGGGTGGGATGTCCATGGTCTGGAGGTGGTCCGCATCACGGAAGAGCTGCAGGACGAAGTGAGACGAGCCTCTACCAACATGAAAGTGGACGCTAGCCCCGTCACCGGCAAGCCTCGTCTCGAATATAAATGGCATCAACTTGGTGAAGATTGGAAAATGGCCTTCCTGGATCCCCTCAAGAAGGCCATCGATGTGTATGTGGATCATGATGCCATTGAGCCAGTGCCCTTGGGACTTCCCATCCCGCCGGAGAAGATCTTGCCCTCGAGATTCGTCCTTACGAATAAGGGTGATGGCGAGGCACTCACGGAGGCCATTCTGAAGGCGAGATGGGTGCTGGCTGGTCATTTGGACAAGGAGGCAGGCCAGTATGCTACGGAAGCTCCGACGGCGAGTTTGGTGGCCCACAACATCATCTGCTTCGTGAGTGCTCAGTTGAAGTGGAAGCTCCGGTACGCGGACATTTCCGCGGCCTTCTTGCAGGGTGAGAAGTTGGACGACGAGCGGATAGTGTACATCCGCCTTCCTAAGGGCTACCCGGAGCAGGTCAACGAGCATTTGCGTACCAGGTTGAGAAACCGGGTGAAAGGTGGCATGCGAGTCGATATCATCCGTTTGACCAAGGGAGGCTTCGGTCTATCGGAATCGCCGAGATTGTGGTATCAGAGGCTGAAGCGTGGATTGGAGGAGCTTGGGCTTCGAGAGCTCAAATTGTCCCCCGGGACGTTCGTGCTGTTTGTCGGCTACCAGTTTCGTGGGATTTTGGCGATCCATGTGGATGATCTTCGAATGGCCTTTCACCCCGAAGCCGAAAACACCTTGGAGAAGCTCAAGAAGATGTTCAATTTCGGGGAGTGGCGTGAAGCCACTCAAGAACTAGTGAAGTTCTGTGGGCGTTGGGAAAAGCAATGCCCCCTCACGTTCCAGGTGACGATCACGATGGATGGATATGCCAAGAAGCTGGCCGAACCCCCGAAGAGAGATCCCAACGACCGCTCGCCTTTGACCGATGCTGAAAGGAAGTGGGTGTCTTCGGTGGGAGGACAGATCAACTGGATGGCACGACAAGGGCGAGCAGACCTGGCCTTCGGAGTTTCAAAGGTGCAACAACTTTCCGGAGCAAGAGATCCGGATACCTTGAAGTTCTTGGCCCAGTTGGTCAAAAAGGCCAAGGAAAGCTATGAGTGCTACTTCCAGGCGTTGCCCGGCTCCTTGGACGAGATGGTCTTCCTGGCAGTGAGTGATGCTTCGCATGGGAGTATGCCAAAGGGAAGGTCGCAAGGAGGGATGATGATATTGGTGGCCAACGAAGAGATCCTCGAGGGCCCCGGCGTTGTCAATTGCCTACTTTACCACAGCTCGGTCATTAAACGAGTGGTGCGTTCCTCGTTGGCCGCGGAGGTGAGCCAGGCTGCCGAGACCCTGGAGCAGTGCGACTTCGTGAGGGCGGTCCTGGCGGAGGCGCTCGATGGCAAGTTCAACCTGAAGCAATGGCTGTGGAGTGCTGGGAGGTGGCAGGAGATCCTCGTGCTGGACTCAAAGACTGGCTACGATATCCTGAACAGCATCTCCAACGGTGAAGACAAAAGATTGGCCATCGACATTGCGATCCTGAAGCAATCCCTCTACGAGCCCCAAGCAAATCGTTGGATTCGTTGGGTTCCCGGCTTGAGCATGCCATCGGATGGGCTGACGAAAGAGTACGGGAACAATGTGCGCGACCTGGTGATGCGAGGAGGCCCCTGGAGCTTGAAGGATACCCCAGAGGCCCAACATCTGAGACAGCAAGCTGGCCATCGTAAGAGGCAATGTAAAGAGCGCCTCAGGGCCAAGGAACAGGAGCTAGAAGCTCTTCGACGTTCCAGTTGTTAGCCGATAGGGCACACGCTCCAAGGGGGGTTGGTGTGGAAATCCACATGTTTCCCCAGCGTGTGCCAGGTGAATTCTGCGCGACTCTCGAAGGATGTCGGCTGGCAGCTGGGTGTGATGGAAAAGGCCCCGGTTGGTTCTTTGGGGTCGTTCGGTCTTTCTTGTCTAAACCCTAAACCCTAAACCCTAAACCCTAAACCCCATATGCCCTTAAGACATGTTCGGTGGCCGTAGCCAAGACCCGGCGCATGCGACGAGAGCGGAGGTGGGACTTGATTTAATAAAGGGACTGCTCTCCGGCGAATAAGGCTGACCCTTCTTTAGACTCACGGCCAGCCGCCGGCTTCGCTATCCAGTGGGATTGTCTTTGCTGTCATCACTGAGGACCAAGAATCTAGGCAGCAGCAGCAGCAGCAGCAGCAGCAGCAGCAG